AATATAACCATTGATAAAAAAAAGGATTAATGGAATAGATAAATGAAGCATTATCAAAATGCACCAATCTTAAACAACAGTCTTACAAAAGAAATTGTTTAAGCACAATGGTCAAATGATAAAATAGATTAGGGTTTGTCACTTTTGGGTTTTGAAGGTTCAAGCACGATCACAGCCAAAGAATGAAACTATGATCATTCAAGAATGATAGATCAGAAAGATGATAGTAGGAATCCAAGACTTGCATGCCAAAAGAAGAGGAATTCGGTAGGGTTTAATCTGGTGATCACAAGAAATGTCTTCTTCATAAATTCCCTCAACTCAGGAGATATACTTCTCTAGTCTTATTTATAAGTCACCCCAACAAGTTTCACCAGTATCAAAGAAAACCTTAAAACTCATTAACTATATCTTAAATTTAATAAGTTTTCAACTTTGTCCTTATTAAATATACACACTTCAATAATATATTTTTTCTCTCCAACATTCAATGGAGGGTAAAAAAAAAATTTATGATGAAAATTTAATAGCGTGATGTATAAATAAATTAAAAAAAATTTTCTCTCTCTGCCCTTTAAATAGGACCAGAGGAAGTAGATTAATTAATAAAATATTCATTTTTATTTCAATTTTAAATTTTTTTGCTTGTATATAAATATTTTTTTTTATTGAAGATGATCATGTTCAAAGTGGGATTGAAAATTAATTGTTGATACCTTTCCCAACAATATTTGAATATTGATTTGTTATGCTATAAGGGACCAATCCTTCTTAAACAACTATAAAAATTTGAATATAAGATGACACAAAAAATGATAGTTAAAGAAAAACACAACATATATGAGAGAGGCAAGTGATGGTCAGGCAGTAAATGATGGGTTTTTCAAACACCCGTCATATATTATAAAACTTTAAATGATGAGTGTTTAAAACACCTATCATTTAAAGGTAGACAACCTTTTGATTTCTTCATTTAAAAAAAATTAATCTTTAAATGACAAGTGTTTATAACACCCCTCATTTAAAGGTTTGAGAATAAATGATGGGTGTTTAAACATCCTTCATTTAAAGGGGCCCAAATGTTTCATTTTCTGAAGGTTAAAAAAAATAAAAAAAATTAAACTTTAAATGACAAGTGTTTTAAACACCTATCATTTAAAGTTGTCACAATATATGACGGGTATTTAAAACACCCGTCATATATTGTTGAATAAATGACGGGCTTTAAAAAGCCCCTCATTTATTCTTTTTTATTAATCAGCTTCTGGTTCATTTTTCATTCTTGCCTGATCGTCTTCGCGTCTTCTCTCTTCTCTACTTACACACGAAATCAATAGAAATTTCACGATCTTCTCTATTATTGTTGTTGACCATCATTGTCCTCTCCGATGTGAAGGTGCCACCTCCTATGCTGTTATTGGCCATCTAGTTTTCTTCCTCTTTAGATTTCAATCCTCTCTTCTCCAAGGTACATTGGTGTGTGATTTTTATTATTTTTCTTCATTTTCTTCCAATATCCTTAGATTTCTAGGTTATGGGATTGATTTATTTAATATTATGAATTGTTTTATTAGTTAATTTTCCTTGTTTGAGTTTCTACTTATTTGTTGCCCATTTTAGTATTGTGTGGAGTCAAAAATTATTAATGTTTGATGCGTTATTGACTTGAGAATGGTAGTAAATGATATAGTTAGCCTTATAATGATTGTTAAGATGAAAATGAGTAATCAAAATGGGATATTTATGATGATTGTATTTTTCTACAAATTTTGACTAATTTATTTTAATAATTTTTAATTTAAATTTTGTGCCCTTTTTTTTATCAAAGTAGTTTTATCATTCAAAACTACACATTGAATGTACTAGTGTGTCAATTTTCATTACAATTGGAGTTAATTTAGGTGACAAAAACTGATGCGTGGTTTCTCTAAAAATCATTGTTATTTTATTGAGATTTTTACAATTGTTAAAGAATGATGTTTTCTTGGCTTGGGATTGCTAATATAGAATATGTGTAACCTTAGAATGATCAATGAGACAAAAAATATTGATTAAAAATGATGTTTATGATATTTTTCTTTTTTATATGATTTTTTAATGAATTTTAGATATAATTTTATAATAATTAGAGTTGATTTAAAAATGCTATTTTTGAGGATTTTGTTGCTGTTGTGATTGTATATGGTTGAAATTAGTTTGTTGAGTGAGATGCCAGGATTGAAAAAAGGATTTGAGCCTGAGAAATACTTTCTCTATGCTGTTGTGCTGTTGAATTTTTTTCGGTGATTGAAGGAATATATGAATGCTCATGCATTGCAACTCATAATTCATTAATTATTCTATATTATATGTAGAGTAGTCAATTTTTTTTTTGATAATCTTCCTACCATTCCTTTTCTCTCCATATTCATGAGTCACAGATCACATTTCCTTGAATGGATTTTTTTAGATTAAAGTTATAGGTTAAGAATGGATGTCTGCCAATCAAGTAAGTAAATAGTATTTGAGTGGTGTGAAAGAGTTTATGAGAATGGTGTAAAAGAGTTTATGAGGTTTACTTTCAAGCATGTAAAAGATCCTAAAAGAATAGTGTGCTTTTATGTAAGATGTAGTTTTTTAAAGCAAATTAGTGGATCTGAGTTGGAAGACCATTTAGTGTGCTATAGAATTGATGAAAATTACAAGTGTTGGCATAATCATAGAGAGACTAGAGACAATAAATGTACTAGTAATTGGGAATATAAAGGAAGCTTTGAATTAAATGATTATGACATAGATACTTATGAGGGTGATTGTCTTGAAGAGATGGCCAATGCAATTGAAAAAAACTTGAGGATTGTCCTAAAATGTTAGATATGTTGAAAAGTGACGCAGCGAAGCCCTTGTATGCTGGTTGCATTGAATTCACAAAGTTGTCGATAGTGTTGAAATTGTACAACTTGAAAGTGAATAATGGATGGAGTGATAAGAGCTTTACAGAAAATTTTAAACTTACAAAACAACTTCTACCTGTGAACAACGAGCTTCTAAAGACTATGTATGAGGTAAAATAAGTGCTATGCTTAATTGGCATGAGTTATGAGAAAATACACGCCTGTTCTAATAATTGCATATTATTTAGAAATAAATATACATCATTAATAAAGTGTCCAAGAATGTGTTATGGTACTTTTCCATTATACCTAGATTTAGACAGTTATACAATAGTGCAGATGATGTAAAAAATTTGATGTGGCATGTGGATGAATGGATCATAGATGGGAAGCTTTGACTTCTAGCTGACTATTTTCAATAAAAAAAATTAATCTCGATTATCCTGACTTTGGAGCAGAAGATAGAAACCTTCGCCTCATATTATCTACTAATGGAATGAATCCACATGAGCTTCAAAGTAGCACTGACCATACATGGTTAGTTATTTTGGTAATTTACAAGTTACTTCTATGGTTATGTGTGAAGCTAAAATGTATGATGCTATCCATTCTAATTTTAGGGCCAAAACAGCCGGGATATGACATAGATATATATTTGACTCCTTTAATTAAAGATTTGAAATTATTGTGGGAGCACAGTGTTGAGGTATATGATAGATATAAAGAAGAAAGGTTTAAATTGAGAGCATTGTTTTTTTGGCACAATCAATGATTTTCCAACATATGGTAATTTGTTAAGGTATAGTATCAAAGGAAAACTCAGATTTTTATTTGTGAAGATGGCACATATTCAGTGAGATTAGAATATGGGATAAAGAATGTCTATCTTGGATATTGCAAATGGTTGCATCCTGATCATTATTATCGATGCTTGAAAAAAGCTTTTAATGAGAATTTAAAAGAAAGTAAGGCATTTTTGCCACTGACAAGTGGGCAACATTTTGATAAGATAAAAATTTTGAATATCAAGTTTGTCGCTGCTATTTAGATTTCTTTTGCCAGGGAGGTTGATATAAAAGCAGCTGATATATTAAAAAAATAACATATAATAAATGACAATTATCTAAATAACCGTCATTTATATGATACATGACGGGTAAATCATTTACCTATCATTATTATGACTTTAAATGATGGTTAAATGATTTACCTGTCATTTAAAGTATGATAAAATTTACTATACTTTAAATGACGGGTAAATGATTTACACGTCATTTATTATGTCATATAGCTCAGACTTTAATAAAAATTTTATTTTAAATGACGGTTATATAATCGTCCTTTATTGAGGGACTTTAAATATCAACCACATAAATGATGCGTATTAACCGTCATTTATGAGCTAAAATAACCGTCATTTATTTCTTTTTTTGTAGTAGTCCTGTTTGTTTAAGATTAAAAAATATGTGATTTTTAGATAATTTAAAAATTTTATTAAAAACAAGCATTATTTTATGTTTGATTATAATAATAAAAAGATGATTATTAGTTAGTTATGTTCAAATTTTATGACATCTTCATTGATTTCTTTTTATAGAAATTATTTATTATTTAATTATTTTAAAATTTTGAGTTAATATATAATTTGGACTTTGAACTATATTTGAAGCCTAAATAATTAAATTTAAAATAATTTTACCTCTAATATTAAATTAAAACAAATATTCATTACTTTTATAAAAAAAATGAGACATAATACATGAATTCCACCAAATTTCATTCTCCCTCCCTCTTACCCCTTTTGAAGAAAATAGCATATCATATCCCACCTTTTTTTTTTATAAAAAAATAAATGTTTGTTTTAATTTAACGAAAAGAGTGAAATTGCTGCAAGTTTTTAATTGTTTAGATTTAAAATATGTTAAATAAGAGTTTAAAATTTACATCGTCTCTAAATTAATAACTCAAGATTCAAATATCATGTTAAAAATATTTAAAAATTCATTTAAAATTAACGGTACAGATCATTTTGACATGAAATGAACGGCCGGATCACTCAGGTGGGTGATGAGGATGGAATGGGTATCCGGAAAACAGTCCGAAGAACACTAACTGGCCGCCGAAAAACAGCTCAGTCACGCACGCACTCACGCTCTTGGCTCTCCCTCTCCTCAGACCTCAGACCGCGGCCACTGCCCCGGAGAACTCGATTACTCATCGTCTTCAATCGGCCGTCTCCGTCGTTCCTCACGGTGTTCTTGCTTCTCGGTTCTCCAGTCCATTGCCCTTATAACTCACTGTCGAGCTCCCTGTTAATCGGCGTCCGTCCCTGCTGCTCCATCACTACAAGCTCAAGAAACATCAGAATTGGTTTTCGGCGTCCCTGATACTCGGCGTGTAGTCGACTTCTGAGTTCTCGGTTTCGTTCCTCATTCAAATTTCAAAAGGTATTCAGTTGAGTTTTCACATTTTGATGAATTGGTTTCTTGATGATTTTTGCGAGTCCACCAGAAGGCTGAAGTGACCACAACTTTTCTTGTATGAACTCATCTTCTCAAAGCTCCGACCACCTTTGCTGCTGTTGGGGATGACTCTACGACGGCTCCGAGTGTCAGCTAAGTTTCTTCGGCCTCGCAATTCTACGGCTTTGCATGTTAACTATCATCTTCTCTTTCCTTCCAAGCACTATACTTCCAACTTTCACTACACTCACTGCGTCTTCTACTCGTCATTTGGGTCTGAATCTTATGATTATTTAATTCAATTTCTACCTTTTGGGAACTCCAATTCTGTTTTTTCAAGCATAATTTCTCCTAGGGAACGACGAAAAGTAGTGGTGGGATTGTCCAAGCTAATTAAGAATGAAAAGGGTTTTTTGTTGAAGGGATTTAAACGAGATTTTTGTCCATTCTTTCTTGTGAGGATTATGAAATTGTTGGAGACTCGTGAAGCTGCATTTGCATTCTTCAAACTAGCATTTGGGGATAATGATTCTGAGGAGACTGTTCGATTGTGTTGCATTGCCGCGGGTGTTTTAGCTGCACAGGACCTTAGGTATTTTGCACAAGACATTGTTTCAAGGGTAATTGCTAAGATGGGAGCTAGCAGAAGTAAGCAACTTGTCCAGTTTATGTGGAAGATTCACTCCCACTATGAGTCTGATTTTTCTGTCCTGGATACCCTTATGAGGGGCTTTTTGAATGCGGAAATGAGTTCAGAGGCGTTGGAAATTTTGCATAGGATGAGGGATGTGGGGGTCTTGCCAAGTGCATCTGCAATAAGCATTCTTATTAGGTATTTACTTAGAATTGGTGATTATGGTAGGGTGTGGAAGCTACTCAAAGATATGCTCTGTAGAGGGCCGTACCCTTGTAATATCACATTTAACACGATGATTTATGGGTTTTGTAAACAAGGGTGGCTTGTAATTGGAGAAAGTTTGTTATATTTGATGCAAAAGTTTAGGTGCAATCCAGATGCAATTACATATAATATTGTAATTAATGCATACTGCATTAGGGGGAAGACTTCAGTTGCAGTGGATTGGCTGCAATTCATGATTGAATGTGGTTGCAAACCGAGCATTGTAACATTTAATACAATTGTTCATGCCTTTTGCAGGGAGGGAAATGTGACTGAGGCAAGGAAGTTTTTTGATAAGCTTCAAGATATGAGCATTAGTCCAAATACTGTAATATACAACACAATTATCGATGGATATGTCAAGGCAAGGGAAATTGATCAAGCAAACATGCTTTATGAAGAAATGAGGAGTAAAGACATCTGTCCTGATTGTGTGACTTTTAATATTTTGGTTGCAGGCCATTATAAGTATGGAAGAAAAGAGGATGGGAATAGGTTGATAAGAGATTTATCTGAACAAGGAATCCTTCCGGACTATTCATTGTGTGATGTAACAATAACATGCCTGTGTTGGGCAGGAAGACTTGATGAGGCTGTGGAACTATTAGAAGATATGCTTGAAAAGGGAATGAATCTTAGTGTAGTTGCCTTTAACTCTTTAATTGGAGCCTATAGCAGGGCTGGATTAGAAGACAAGGCATTTGAATCCTACAAAACTATGGTTAAATGTGGTTTGACTCCTTCACCTTCTACATTTAATTCTTTGCTTTTGGGTTTGTGTTGGAAAGGGAGGATGCTAGAAGCCAGGACGCTTTTCTGTAGGATGTCAAAGAAGGGCCTTCCCCTCAACAAAGCAGCTTATACAATTCTTTTGGATGGATGCTTTAAGATGGGTGATCTCTGTGGGGCTAAGTCTATCTGGATTGAAATGAAAGAAAGAGGTGTATATCCAGATGCTGTTGCCTTTTCAGCCTTAATTGATGGGCTTGCAAAGGCGGGTTTGGTTGAGGAGGCATACGAAGCATTCTTAGAAATGTCAGCCAAAGGTTTTGTTCCTAATAATTTTGCATACAATTCTTTAATTCATGGGTTTTGTAATACTGGGAAAATGTATGAAGCAGTGAGGTTGGAAAAAGAGATGCGGTTAAAAGGTCTTCTTCCTGATACCTTTACCTTGAATATAATTATTGATGGTTTCTGTAATCAAGGCCAAATGAAGCCTGCACTTGATGTGTTTTTTGACATGTTTCGGATTGGTTTGACACCGGATATTGTCACATTCAACATATTAATTGGAGGTTATTGTAAGGCATTTGACATGGCTATTGCAGATGAGTTTGTTAAAAAAATGTGTAAATGTGGGTTTGACCCAGACATTACAACCTATAATATACGAATACATGGTTACTGCAGTAGTAGAAGAATTAACCAAGCAATTAACATTCTGAATGAGCTTGTTGAAGCAGGTATTGTTCCCAACACTGTGACATACAACACCATGATTAGCAGTATGTGTGGTGATATATTAGATCATGCTATGATTTTAACTGCAAAGTTACTTAAGATGGCTTTTTTGCCAAATGTGGTTACTGCCAATATATTGTTGTCTCACTTTTGTAAACAAGGGATGCCTGAGAAGGCCTTAATGTGGGGGCAAAAGTTGAGAGAGATCTGCTTTGATTTTGATGAAATTACCTATAGAATACTGGACCAAGCTTACCGTATCATGCAAGAAGATGTTGAACATGTGAGGGAAACATCAACTTATGAAAAGAGCCTTTTTTTGGATTTTCTAATGTACATTACATTTGACTATTTTTCTAGAAATAGATCTCATAATATGGACAGTGAGAATAGTCTAAGGCTCATTGAAAGTCAGTTCAGTGTTTTATGAACTTGATTAATTTTTTGGACGTTCAAAATCTGCCAAAATTTTTGTGTATTGATGTCAACTAGGACTCATTCATTGGATACTTAGCCTATGCCATAAGTTCTTGCAAAACATGACATGGCACAATCTGGAAGAAATCAGATAGGGCTGAAGATTCTAAATCTTACAAAAGTTCTGTGTAATGATTACATCAATGATAAGTACTCAATGGCTACTTTGCATTTCATGCAATAATTGCTTGCAAAACTTGGCACAAGCTGGAAATGAGATAGGGTTGGTTAACCCTTTTCTAAAGTTGATCACACAAATCATTACTATCATTCTGGAGTTAATTGTAATCTCTTCATACAGAAGGATAGAAGCTTGCACTTTATCCTTTGAGGCATGTGAGGTGAATCATGTTTCTGTCAAAGACTTGAGGATGTTATCATTCTGAAATATTGTGAACCAAATGAAGAAGTGGCAATGAATATGCGTGGTAAGTGCTACAGTCTACAGTTTACTTATAAGAATGTTGATATATTGGTCCTTGTTTCTGTCACCTTGTGGTTTTAGTACGTTGCTGAGTCTGTAAATGTATGATGATTGCTCTGGAGACATTATTGTTAGTCTCATTTGATCTTTTTACTTTTCTGGTTGACATATGATTATCATTTTCCTTTTTGGTTGTCTTTTCTGGAAGTAACGGTATTTAGGTCTGAAGGTTAAGGATTTGATTCTGCTGCTTTGTTCAATATTCATTTGTAATCACTAAGATGGTCAAGTTAGAGATATTGATAAAATGATAAAACCAACCCTAGGCTCTTGTCTAACAGTTTAACCTTTTGGGATTACATAATTCTTGAAGGTGTATCTTGACTTTTATGAACAAGTAATTAGGGCTTAAGAGTTTGGTACTTGCTGCGCCCTTCATAATTAAATTGTATTTCCATAGAAGGTACATTGGGAATGAACTTTGTTCACACTTCAATTTATAGTCCAAAGGAAGCATGAGAGAGTGCATTATAGCTGTTAAGAAAACCAATGTTGAGCGTTGACCTAACAATTTAAGCTTTTGATAAAATGGTCTATAATAGATCATATTACTCAGTACTTTTAATTTTATGATAAATTGCAGGTCTTATATTTGTATGAGAAATTTTCTTTGAACAGTCCTTTTTTATGAAAGAGAAAGGAACAACCTGGATTGAAACAATTCTTGTAACGAGGAAATTTTTTAGATGATGAAAGTTTACAAATCTTGATTTTGTTGATTTTAAGGTTGTACTGGCTTGTATATTCCTTTATTTCATTTTAGAGTGTTAAGAGCTCAAACTACCTCTATGTGGTTGTTTAAGACTAGTCACAAGAGCATGCCATAGGATACCAAAAAGTCCCAGGTTTGGCATAAGGGAGCATTGGTTTTTATGACATCTTCAAACTGAATAAGGTGTCAATTCCATTGTCAATTTACAATTTTTTTTATGCTTCTTTCTCCTCATTGGCTTTGAAATTGTGTTCATGGATTCTTGATATATCATTCATGAATCCATTGATGTTTGATACATTACTAGTTTCTTGTCTTTTGACTTTCTTCATCAGTAATCCCAGTTGTCTTACACATTTGATGCTCATTGATAGTATTTTTAAGCATACCATTTTGGAGGATGTTTATTCCAATTTCTTTGTGTTGAAAGTAGGCCACCCATTACTTGTTTACCTAGCCTCAGTAGTTTTTACTGTTAACATATTTATTTTATTAGAGATGTTTTACAGGCTTATAGGGATTTTAGAATCAGAATATTCTATCAAATTTGCTCCCTTCTATATGTACGCTTTAGTCTATCAAATGAGAAGAGACTTTTCGGCGTTGCAAACTCTCATGGTATCAGAGCAGCGCCTTCTACATCATATAAGGCAGTGCTAACAGGTCCTAAAGCTTTTGCCACAGATGGAGAAATTTCCCCAAACTCATTGGCGCATGGTGGAGGCTCAAGCAAGATTGCGAATTCAGGAGGGATTGGTGTGGGTTCTTTTGGGAATATGCATACGGACTCCTCCTCTCAACTTATCAACACCCATCGACTCAACGGAAATAATTACTTGCAATGGTCCAGAAACGTATTGATGTTTGTGTGAGGGCACAATGAGGAGCGTTACTTGACTGGACATCTGAAGGCGCTCAAGATTGGTGATCCTAAATATGAAGTGTGGTGTGGAGAGAACATGGTCATGACCTGGTTAGTTCACTCTATGAACATTGAAATCATTGAGAACTACTTACTTGCCAACACTACTCAAGAAATTTGGGAATTACCATGGCGCGCCTACTTTGTTCAAGAAAATACCGCAGCTATTAAGCAAAATGGGCTCTTCGAACTCAACACAGGGGGAGAAATTAGTCACGCATTAGTCACGCTGTATTACACTTCCTTGATGTCATTGTGGCAACATGTAGACTTACATGAGGTTCATCAATGGTTGTGTCATGCTGACAAGGTGTATTACAAAAAGGTTGTTTAACGTGAAAGATGTTATGAATTTCTTCTTGAGCCTTCATGACTCGTTTGAGTATCTTAGAGGTCTAATAGTGGGTATGAAACCTCTTCACTTGATGAAACATTTAATATGATAAAATATGAGGAAAGCTGCAAGGCTCTTGTTCAACTTCCTCTTCTACTCCCCTTTACCAATTGCTGAATCCTTGGCTATGGTGACCTGGGGCAATCAAGGGGGAGATTCAAAAGGGAAAAAGTCTCTTCGTTGTGATCATTGCAGCAAGAATGGTCACACACGAGAGACTTGTTGGCAATCCATGGTAAACCTGCCCACCTGAAGCAAAAGAATAAAGGTGATAATAAAGGCTTTACAGTCAGTCAAATTGCTGGTGAAGGAAATTCACTGGACAATGAAGAACTTGTTGTGCTTAAACAAATCCTAGAGAGGCATGCTCAAGAAAAACAAAGTGAGAAACTCTCTCCCTCAATTACATTGGCTCATGCAGGTACAACTCTACTTACTGCCTTAAGTGCATAAAAATATTTGGGTTGTTGATTCTGGTGCTATGGATCACATTACTGGATTTTGGGAGTTATTTTCTGAGTTTAGTTCTTATTTTGAGAGCACTCTTGTGCAAGTGGCTAATAATACTTATGCATAAGTTATGGGGTCTGGAACAGTTTTTCTTTCTGAGTCTATTGTGTTGAGGAATGTGTTATATGTACCTGATATTGGGTGTAATTTGCTGTCAAGTGCATGTCCTGTCAGTTAAATTGTGTTGCAATCTTTGACAAGTTTCACTATGTTTTTTAGGATTTAGCCTTGGGTAAGATGATTGGCAATGCTAAAGAACACAATGGACTCTACTACTTTGAAAGAAAACCCTAAAGTGAAGGCTTTTTAGCTGATTCTAGTTCTGTTTTGAAACTTATTTTTGCTTCTGCTGTTATGTCTCAAGAAGACACTTTGTTATGGCATTTTCAATCAGGTCACTAGTTTTGATTATATGAAAATTTTGTTACCAAACTCCATGAATAAAGTCAACTTTCATCGCAATATTTGTCAATGTGCCAAACGAACTTGCAATCCTTATCTTGTTTCTACTTATACACCTATTAAACCTTTCACTCTTGTGCATATTGATGTGTGGGGTCCTTCTAAAATTGAAACTCACTCTAAAGCCAGGTGGTTTGTTTCTTTTATTGATGAGCATGCTTGTCCTATGTGGCTGTTTTTAGTGAAAGACAAGTCTGAAGTTGTTACTCTCTTTAAAAGTTTTTATAATTTTGTCATCAATTTCAGATTTCTATCAAAATACTTCGTAGTGACAATGGAATTGAGTATTTGAACACAAACTTTTGAAGCTTTCTTATTGAAAAAGGGATACACCATCAAACTTCTTGTGCATACGCTCCAACAAAATGGAGTGGTTGAGAGGAAAAATAGACATCTCTTAGAGGTGGCTAGATCTATTTTATTAGGTAGCATTGTACCCAATAAGTTTTGGGAAGATGCTATTCTAACTGCAACTTATCTCATCAATCGTATGCCATAAAAAATTCTCAAGTTCAGAACTCCTCTCCAAAGTTTTTTAGAGTCTTATCCTCACTCACATCTTATTAATTCTCTCCCAAAAAAAAAAAAAATTTGGTTGCACGGCTTTTGTGTTTTATGATGAGGGTGGGAAACTTGATTCTAGATCTATTAAATTCCTCTTCTTGGGTTACTCCTCGACAAAAAAAGGGTACAAATGTTACTCTCTCGAAAAAGGAAGTTCTATGTCACTATGAATGTTAAATTTGTTGAAACACTACCATTCTATCCCAAATTACCCATTCAATGCGAGAATGATAGTGAATGGTTAATTTGTGCTGCTATAGATGATCACTTAAGTAATCCATTGGCATCACTAATATTAGACCTTACACATCACTTGACAGCCCTATCCAGCCCAATTCTGAACCTGCTTTGCTAGTCCTGACCTCATAGCACCTAATCCTGACCTTCTTGCACCTACTTTTGAAGCTAAAACCCCTTTTGATTACCATACCAGTCAAAAACAGCCTTCTACCAACTCTCATGAATCTGTGTTTGACCCTATTATGGATGAAATAAGTGGAAATCAGCCTAGAAAGCTCACACATAGTGAAGGTTCCATTGATGTTCCAAGGCGAAGTCATGATTCACAACATGAGGTTAATATTGAAGATCTTTAATGGCCTATTGCTTGTAGAAAAGGCAAGAGGAGTTGCACTTGACACCCCATTGCAAGGTATGTCTCTTACGATAAGCTTAACTCTTAGCTTAAGACCTTTGTTACTACTCTTGATTGTGAAGATATGTCTAGAATCTTTGAAGAAGCCAGATCTGATCCAAAATAGAAATTGGCCATTGAGGAAGAGTTGAGGGCCTTGCACAAAAACCGGACGAGGGAAATTGTTGATATGCCCTATGGGAAGTCAGTTGTAGGTAGTAAATGGGTTTTTACTACAAAATACAACTCAGATGGGAGTCTAAATAAATATAAAGCACAGCTAGTTGCTAAAGGTTTTACCCAAACCTATGGCATTGACTATCAAGAGACATTTGCTCCTGTGGCTGAATTTAATGCTATTAATGTTTTGTTGTCTCTGGCTGCAAATTTAGATTGGCCACTTCATCAACTAGATGTGAAGAATGCCTTCCTAAATGGAGACTTAGAAGAAGTGTACATGGAGATACCCTTGAGTTTGAAAGGACCCGAGAATGCAAACAAAATCTACAAGCTTCATAAGTCCTTGTATGGACTAAAGCAATCACTTAGAGCTTGGTTTGACAAATTCACACATGCTGTCAAACGATTTGGTTATAACCAGTGTCAAGCAGATCATACTTTATTTGTAAAGAGGTATGGTCAAAAAATTACTGTACTAATTGTCTATATACATGTTATTGTGCTGACAGGTAATGACACTAAAGAAATTGACAAAATGGAGAAGAAACTTGCTGTTCAATTTGAGATTAAAGATCTCGGCTATCTCAGGTAGGTTGGAGGTAGCTTTGTCATCTAAGGGCATTAATGTCACACAGAGAAAATACACTCTGGACCTTTTCAAGGAGATTGGTATGATGGGTTCTAGACCTATAGACACTCTAATGGAGCTTAATTGCAACTTGGAAGTAAAGCTTGATGGGAAATTAACAGATGAGGAGAGGTCCTAGAAATTGGCAGGAAAGCTAATTTATTTATCTCATCCCCGGCTAGGTGTATCCTTTACTACTGGGGTTGTAAGTCAGTTTGCTAGTAATCCATTGGAGGAGCATATGGAAGCTGTCTACCGTATTCTCAGATACCTTAAGACAACTCCAAGGAAGGGATTATTCTTTTCTAAAGGAGACACAGTGTGTAGAAATCTACTCAGATGGAAACAAGAGAACACATTATATGAAAAATGAAACAAATATAGAAGTTTATATTGATGCTGATTGCGTAGGATCCATTCACGATAGACACTCTACTACAGGGTATTGCACCTTTGTGTGGAGAAACCTTGTGACTTGGAGAAGTTAGAAACAACTAGTTGTGTATGGAAGCCCAGTGAATATAGGGCCTTAGCCCTTGGAATTTTTGAAGGCACGTAGATGGTACAATTACTCAGAGCTGGGCATAGAACCACTTACTTCCATCAAAATGTGGTGTGATAGCATGGCTGCCTGAAGATTGCCAACAATCCAGTTCAACATGATCGCACAAAACATGTGAAAATTGATAGACTTTTCATTAAAGAGAAATCAGAAGCTAAAGTCATAGATCTCTCCTAATTCCATCAAGAAAGCAAGCTACAGATGTGATGACCAAGCCTCTTGTGCGAAACAAGTTTGATGAACTAATAGGCAAGCTGGGAATGATTAACATCTATTCGCCAGCTTTAGGGGGAGTGTTGGAAGTGGGCCCACTTAACCTAGGTCCATTACCGGTTTACCTAGTCTTAATAGTTTTTACTATTAGCATATTTATTTTGTTAGAGATATTTTACAGATTTATAGGGATTTTAGAATTAGAATATTTGTTATTATCTTTCTTAGTTATTAGGGCAGATTTAGTGTGATTCTATCAAATCTCCTCCCTTCTATATGTGTGCTTCATTCTATCGCATGAGAAGAGACTTTTCAGCACTGCAAACTCTCACTTTGTCCCACATTTTTTTTTTCATATTCAAAGTTTAAAATTTTGCTTCCTGCTATTGGGCTTACCATGATGTAGTCTTCAGCTTGCTAATTATGAAGAAGATACTTATGTAGCCAAATTGTGAGGTACTATCATTAGTTTTGTCTATAAATTTTCTGATTGAAATTATTATGAACTCCATTATTATTGGATGAATATGGCTCTGTTTTGGTGAAATTGCTCGAATTAATGAAGAAGGAATATTTTTATAACAATGACCTTCAGCTAAACTCCAAAAACTTTTCCTTGAGCTGAGAACCCCCTTCCCATTTGATTCTTTTTCTTTTGGCTATTTGTTGCAGTAAATTACTGTAAAATAGATTGACAGGTTAAGTGGAAGGAGGTATAGTAATGGATTGGAATTGAAAGGATGAAGGCACTTACGTATTCAAATTGTGAGGTAATGTAGTTATTTTCTTTTCTCTAAGTTTTTGTATTGGAACTATTATGAACTCCATTATTGTTGTTTGATGAACAAGGCTCTGTTTTGAGGAAGTTACCGGAATTATTATGGCTCTGCTAGATGAATAAAGCCAAGTATTATTTGGTCTATTAGCTTCAATACTTGGTCCTTTGTGCTCGTGTTACTAATCTGGCTTTTTGTGTTTCTGTTCTGAATAATTAATGTGCTGTAAAAAAATTAAGTATAATTATAAATTTGTGTCATAATCTGAACTCTAAGGTGTGTAGATGAATGTTTTTTTTACTCTTCCCCCACACACATTTTGAGTTGAAACCATAACTTACAATGAAAGTAAATCATGTGAGACTGTTTTATACATAATTGGCCTCTATATTAAGAATTAAATAAAGTATACCAACATAATGCTTTTTGAATAATATGCATGCCAAGAGTAAAAGGCATTATGGTGAATGCTTTTTGAATAATATGCATGCCAAGAGTAAAAGGCATTATGGTGAATCACTCTAAGCATTATGTTGGTATACTTTATGCTTTCCATGGACTATTTGCATAAGTATAATTGGATTGACAAGTCACTAGACGCACCTAGAACCATCTTTCAAGCTGATATCTTGCACATTTTGCTTACAATCACATCTTGGAAAGCTTTTTCTTTAGGCTGGATAGAATCCTAATTGGGATGGCTTATTGATTGTGGCCAGGTTTATCTAACAAATAAGATATGAGTCTCACAAGGACATAGTTGATACTAGAAAACCGGTGAAAGATAGATCTGTGAAGGCTGGTAAAGCATATGATTATGATCCTCAAGTGACAGAAAACTTATGAGCATGTTGACTGCAATCACCCTCTTTTCTCTTGCTATGTGATTTTGACGGGTAAGGTTGTCACTAAAGATTGTATATACGCAGTTGTGTTTTATCATCATATTTGCTAGGCTTATGAATGTGGGACAGACTTTTAATGCAGCTAGGTTATGGGCATGTTTGGTTTACACCTCAACTGAGATTGTGGCCCAAACCTTAGTTGGGATGTAAAAAGTCAATTACAAGATTAGAATATAAATTTTTCTTTTGGGTAAAACAAAATATGAACTGAGCATCAAGGGAAAAAGTGCATTTCAGCTAAAGCCAAATGATGGATTTTCTGAACGTGCATTAGGGAATGCTGATTGGGTCTTTAATGCTTTTTAAATTTTGTTAGGTTTCTCTCTCCTTATCCTCTCATCTTACCCGATCGCTCGACTCTTTGCTCTGTCTTCACTTCAATAACCATCAGTTGTTTCCTCTAACATCTTCTCATCGCCATCCCTAACTATGTGCTCGTTGTCGTCGCTGTCCATGGAGGTCAAGGGTCATTGTGTCTGGTCCGTCTAGGTTTGCTTTCCTTCGTAGTTGATTTTCTTATTGTTGCGTCGTTTGTGTAGCTTGTTAGGTTTGCATGTCCTTGCCTTCCATGGTTCTTGTTTGCTGCTTGTCATCATTGTACTCACTGATTTGCTCTCTGTTGCCGATGTCTCCTTGCCATGTAACTCATGCCCCTTGTTTTGACTTCTCATAAAGGCTGAACAAATATGCTCTCTCTTGGTGTCTTTAATGAATGGATCTGCTCTCTCTTATCATCTCTGTTGTTATTTCAACTTGTTCCACTCACTTCGCTGACTTCTTTTACAGTTTCTTCATTCTCTCTTGCCCTTGTTTTGCTAATTATTTATTTATTCATGATTTAAGAACTCCTTGCCGTTGTTGGGTTGCTCGGATTTTGTTGGGTGGGGTGCTAGAAGTTTTGTTTAACATAAATGCAAGTAGGCTTTGTAGATGATTTTTTGTTATAAAAAGTGTTTATTAATCTAAAATATGAATCTTTGGATGGTAGTGGCACTGTGGTATTGTGAGTTTCAAGTATTATGTAGAAGTTTTGTTGTTCATCTGTAAAGATGATATGGCTATGCTATAAATTCTAACTGAGAAGCTCAACAACTTAGGCCATCATCCAGCATGTTGTTGATCTTTCTAATGAGAAAACTTGGACACTTCTATGTTAAGAATTGAGACGATTGATTGCTTTTATTTTGTATTTCATGTCCATTAAATATCAACAATAGATGCTTTTGTGCCAATGCTAGGTTGTTGCCCGTAAGTAAAATGCTGCATGGCTCAAGTGCAGTGACAAGTGAGTTAAAGCTGTTGCATCGACATCCGGACGTTGTGTTAAATGAGCAAGGGTTACCATGTTATTTTGGACAAGTACAACTAAAGAAGTTAGTCCATTTGAGTAAGATTAGATTTGGTACTTGGAATGTTGGGACCTTAAAATATAAATCTATGAAGGCGGTAGGGGTTATGATTCATAGAAAAATTAATATCTTATATTTACAAAGTTTCAAACTTTGATATATAGGAAAAGTAAGCATACACAATAGGGTGAGTATCATTGTTGATAAGGAGGGGAAGAAGAACATGCTAGAAGCTTTGGGGACAATTATTTTCTTAAAAATAATTGTTGGATGTGAGACTATCAATATTATTAACGCTTATGCACTTCAAGCTGGGGTAGAAGCCATTTTAAGGAATTGTTTTGGACAGACTTAGAAGGGTTGATTCAACACATACCACAAAGTGAAAATATTTTTATTGGAGGAGATTTTAATGGTTATGTTAGGAGGGGAGGTAGGTTAGTAATCTGTATACGAGGGTGCATGATAGTTTTGGTTTTGGGGAGCTATACAATGAAGGACAATTTATTCTTGATTTCTCTTTTGTGTATGATTTCAAGATTGCCAACATTTGTTTTTTGAGGAGGGTTGGAGGAGGGATGAATAGCTCATCACTCATAAAAATGGAGCTTCGAGGTCAGATTGATTTCTTTTTGGTAAGGAACATGGACATGATACTGTAAAAATTGTAAGGTGATTCCTAGAGATGCCGTTACGACACAACACAGGGTCTTTGTTCTTGGTGTGCATATTCCGAGTAAAAATCAAAAGCATCGACAAGTGGTAATTTTGAGAATTAGGTAGTGGCAGTTAAAAAGCAAGTAGCGGGAAATTTTCAAGCGGAATCTTTTGGTTGAAGGAATTTAGGAGTCTTAAGAAATTGCTAGCATTTTGTGGGAGGATATGGTTGGGAAAGTAAGGAATGTCTAAAGAAGTTTTGGGAGAATCAAAAGGTTTTGGCTCGTGAGATAAGGGGTTTTAGTGGGGAAAGATAGTGTATAAGAAAAGTTCAAACACAAGAAGTGTTTTAAAGCCATCCATTTGTGCAATAATGATGAAAATTGGAAAAAGTACCGTACGGCTAAGATGTAAACTAAGAAAGCTGTGAGTGAAGTTCTAAAGCATTTGAAGAGCTTTAAAATGGTTTTGGGACAAAGGATTGAGAATGAAAAATTTATAAGATTGCTAAAAGTAGGAGAAAGAAATCAAGACATTTGAAATAAGAAAGGTGCATAAAGGATGAAGAGGAAAGAGTTTTGCTCATAGATGGTGATAGTAAAGACAGATGGGAGACTTACTTTTTTAAACTTTTCAATGGTAGAGGGAATTTGTTTAGTAACTTAGAGGATTTAGTAACTTGTGAAAGAGAACAAAATTTATTATTCTATCAAAGGATATGTGATTGTGAGGTAAAGGAAGCTCTTAAGAAAATGACAAATTGTAGAGCCAGTAGACCTAACTGTATCTCCAATGGAAATGTTTAGAGGAAGAAGGGGTGGGGTGGCTAACTAACTTATTCAATGAGATTTTATGGTCCAAGAAAATGCTTGACGATTGGAGAAGCACCTTAGTTCCTATTTTCAAAAATAAAAAAGATATTCAAAATTGCGCTAACTATAGAAGGATTAAACTTGAGTCATTTAATGAAATTGTGGAAAAAAGTAATTAAGCATAGGTTGAGATTGGAAATTGGTATTTTTGAGAATCAGTTTGACTTCATGCCAGGTAGGGTGACTACAGAGGCGATTTATCTACTGAGAGAATTAATATAAAAGTATTGATGTTAAGATAAAGATTTACACAATTTTTATTGATTTGAAAAAAGTTTATGATTGTTTATTGAGAGAAGTACTTTGAAAAATCTTGAAAAAGAAAGGAGTCTAGGTTGCCTATATTATAACTATACAAGATATGTATGAAGAGGCAATAGCTAGTATAAGAATTTCTGGTGGCAAAACAAAGGACTTTCTCATAAGGATTAGACTGCATCAGGGATCATCTTTAAATCCTTATTTGTTTGACCTGGTTCCAAATGTTTTAATTGAGCATATTCAAGAGGAAATCCTCAAATACATGCTTTTCGCAGATAATATAGTTCTTATTGCAGAAATCATAGAAAAAATTAATTGTAAACTTGAGTTATAGAGAAGGACATTTGAGTTATAAGGTTTCCTCTTGCGTAGGAGTAGGACGGAATATTTGTATAGTAATTTTGATAAGAGGTCAGTCAGTAGTAATTTGGAAGTGAAAATAGAGGATTAGATTATACTTCAAATGAAAAATGCTTAGATATTTGTGAGCTCTTATTTGGCATGATGGAGAAATTGATGGGGATTTTGCACATAAAAGCTGAATGGTTTAATTGGAGAAAGACTAAAGGAGTTATTTGCAATCGTAATATTTGTAATAAATTTAAAGAGAAGTTTTATTGAATTGCTATAAGATTAGCTATATTATATGGTAGTGAATGTTGGGTTTTAACCGAATAGCAAGCGTATAAAATTAAGTAGTAAAGATGAGAATGTTGAGATGGATGTGTGAGCATATACGTAAAGATAAAATCTGAAATGAGCATTTATGACAAAAAGTGAGCGTAACATTTGTTGGAGGAAAATTTGTAGAAAATTGTTTGAGATGGTTTGGACATGTACAAGGAAGATTGCAAGAGGCACCAGTGAGGAGAGTGGAACAGATAATTTTAAGTCCTACTAAGAGAAGCAAAAGAAGGTTAAATAGAATACTTATGGAAGTTATTGACCGAGACCTCTTAATTGATAACATTCTTAAAAGGTTGGTAAATGATAGAGCATTATGGCGTTGTACAATTCATATAGCCAACCTCACTTAGTGAGATAAGGCTTGTCCTCCTCCTCCTCCATTAAATATCATGATGATTCATGTGTTGCAATAGAATTTAGGATATTCTTATTATAAAAAAGAAACCTTTCCCAAAAAGAAAGAAAGAAATTAGTTTTTACTTACTTTTGTGGCTTGTATTGGGTGGAGGAAATCTGCTTCCCAAAACTCTCCTTTCCTTGCTTTTTCACTTGTGTTGATTCCCTCACATTCTTGTGCCTTTTGACCACAGATAGACTAAGGTGCAAATATGATGGTATTTGTCTTGTAATCACAATTTAACCACAAACTGTGATTGAATCTCTTCAATGTGCATTGGGATATTCTTGATTATATCATGGCTAATGATATATCATTTGGTAAGGCTTTGGAGGAACTGCAAGGCATAGGTAAAATCGTTAATGATAAAGATTTGCGTTGGTGGTGATGTTATCTTACATGTACAAGCCAGCTTTGGAGATGTTTGTTGGTCTTGGAGGAAATTGGGACTGCATGGTGAATTGGTTTGAAAACTGAAGCTTATTTAACCTACTGGCATTTATCCAATCACCTAAATAACATTAGAGTCGTACTTCTGTTTATGTTAAGAGTAGCAGAAATCATTTATTGTATCCCTTGTAGGTTATGTATATAGAGTGTGCTAGTAGAGTTGTATAGGGACAAAGCAGATAAAAGGATCTTCTATGATAGGTTGTATAGGGCAGGCTATTTTAGTAGGCTCACAATCACCTTGATAGTATTGTGTATATATTCCCACTATAAAATAAACTAGAACTTGAGTTTTATTTAGCTTCGGTTTACTTATTATGACTTGTTGTAACCGACTATTTTGAAAATATTTAGAATCATGCTCTTAATATGTTATGTGGTGAATGATTATTATTATTTTTTCTATGCCTTATTGTGGTTGATTAGTTTATTTATTCGCCTAATTTTACCTTAAGCATTGCTTGGATACACTGATATTAATTTGAATTTAACCACACAGGTTTAATAATTTATGGCGGATTGGAACAATGAATACCTTCCCCTTTTACATGATGATATAACATAAGATGGAGAGTTATGTGCATTAGTGAGTCAGTATACAATGCCATATGTGTGTGCAAAGAGCCACAAAAAACTCGTTGGCAAGCAGGTTAATCGTGGGTGAATGAAATTTTGCAAGGTCATGCTACTTATTTTACGACATATTTCAAAAGAAAATGTTTAATCAATTATGCCCTAAACTTGTTGAACTTGGTCTAAAGAGGACTAAGAGGATGGGAGTTGAAGAAATGGTTGTAATATTCTTAAATATAGTTGGACATGGAAGTGGTAATAGGATAATACAAGAATGATTTTTACATTCAAAAGAAACCATACGTAAGAATTTTTATAAATTATTAATTGCTTGCCTTGATCTACCTAAGGAGAATATCAGGCTATATGATCCTTTGTGACCACAATGTCATTTGAAAATATAAGATGATCTACACTATTGGCCATTTTTCAAGGGTGTTATTGGATTGACGGTACTTCTTGTCATGCGTGATTTGTCTTGATAATAAATTCAAATTTATTGGAAGAAAGGGATACGTAAAGCAACGGAAAATATCATGGCGCTTATATAATTGGGACATGTGTTATATTTTTATAACTGTAGTGGGATGGGAAGGTAGACAAGTGAATGCTTGTGTGTTTGACACTGCCTTATCAACTTTGTTAGTGAATTTTTTTTTTTTAAATTAGAGGGGTAGACATTAACATTTTGAGATTACAAATGAAATTAAACCGACAACATCTAACTTATATGGGAGCTCACAGTGCCACTAGGCTCAGTGAATTTTCCACATCCACGGCTAGATATAGCTCATTTTAGTATCAAGTTATTTATTTTTTCGTTGATTTCAAGATTGTCAAACTCACACCACTTCCATTATTTATTATAATTTACAAACCCAAATAATATTTACCTAATAAATGTCTAACTGCAACTCTGGGTTGGGGGAAATACATACATTTATATATCTATATGTGTGTGTGTGTGTGTGTTTATATATTAAATTTCTCCTACAATGGGGAGGGGAGTCGACCATGGTTCATTTTGAAGCTGGCAACCCATTCTCCTTCATCATTCCTAATGACTCCTCTACACGTCGCATGTTGATTCTGCAGCACTGATGCATGAATGTCATCTCTGTAATTTCCTTGTTCTTTTGGGATCCACTTCACCTCATGTCTGGTCAAATGGACAAATGTTGGGGTTCAGTTCTTTCAGCATGCTGACATGGATGGGCGTAGTATTAATATGGACTTAGATCATGATAAAGAGAATACCCGTGAATGCCTAAGATTTTATTAAAAACAAATCTTAATGATTCATAAGGTGGGATGGGCCAGTTATTTATCTGAATGAGCCTGAGAAAAAGTAAAGTGGACTAAGAAGATAGGAGAATAAATACAGAAGCAAAAAGGTTTGAGGACTAATAAAGATTGATTCAGTTGGTAAAAATTTCACTCAATCCAAAATGTTGTGGGGTCAAATTTTGCTATCGAAGTGAGGACTTTGTTAGTGGGCGATCTGTAAGTATATTTGTAAGTATTTTTTGAGTTTGGAGGCATGTCTTAACTTTGATAAATTTTCGGGATCCAATTCATCGAAACTTTTTGCTATAAAAAAGGGGTTTTAAGTGTGTGAAGAAATTTGTTGGAGCCTCCTCTCTAACGATTCTCCACTTTTCTCTGGCCATGGTCTTGGTGATTATGGAGTTTCTCTTCTATTCTAAGTATTCCTCTGAGTCCCTATTTTCCTTTATATTGCTATTATTTTCTCAAGTTATATTGCTATTACTGTAACTAGATTCAAGTGTGGATTAATTACTGTAATTTTGAACTTCCTGGATTGTTAATACTCCATTGTGTTTCTATTGTATTTCTCTACGTTGGGTTTGTTAATTGTTATTATATCATTTCACGCGCATGCACTTTTCTATTCCAGCATTCTCTGCTTACACACACTGATGATGTTTAATGCAGTAAAATTGCTCCCTTGAAAAATTCTTCTACACCGATTTGTCCATTCTTGGGCAAATGTAAGTGAAGATTTTTAATCCATGGGCATCTACCAAGACATTCCAAACCTGCCTGATGATTAGCATTCCATTTCATCCATTCTTGTAACCTGCAAGAAAAGAAAGAATTACAATATAAAGGATTAACAATATCCTTCCAAGTTTATTTAGCTATTTTGCAGCCTCTTAAAATATGGAAGTTTGTTTCATCATCTTGCACTCAAAGGGACAAGAACTTATTTCAAGATCTCTTTGGGCTTTAAGGGCATTAGCTGGAAGTCTCTTATGGAGAACCTGTCAAGAAAAAATTTATTTTTTCTGATAAGCCAGAGCCGTATCATGAAATCTCATAAATAAAGTGAGGTTTACAAGTGTAAGAGATTTTTTACCCAATATGTTGGCCTTTTGGAATGAGTTTTCTCTTTAGACTTGTGCTTGATCGTCAAAACTACTTCCGCATGCTTTTCCATAAACCCCCCCTCTGCATTTCTATGTTGCCAAGGTATTTGTAGGCTTCACTAATAGTGAAACGTCCATCACTAGATGAATTCCATCAAAATTTATCCTCTTCATTATTTTGATGTGGTATCTTTTGATATCATTTTTTTTATTTACTGAGATTATAAGAGAGATATAGGTGATTTGTTTAGGATTCATCTGTCTCATTTCTTCCATATAGACACACACACACAGACGTAATTGCATCATATGAATAACACAGTACTACAATATTTTTGTTATCTAGGAACATTTCAAAAATGTTACTATAGGTTTGAAAATTGTTACCTAATAGTATAGACAATAGTTTTCAATATTTCTAACTTGAATGTTATCTGTTGTTTTAAGTAATAATGTTTTTATCATTGGTTACACTGTTTGGAAAAATGTTGTCTAAAACTCTAAGAAAAGGCAATGGTTTTTGAGAGGCCTATTGTAACAATTTTGAAATGTTGGTTATCATATAAATAGGCAATATTTAAAAATTATTGTGAAATAATTAAATAGTCAAAATTTAATATTTCTTTTCCTATATAAAATTTAAACCTTCGACCTTTTGAATGAAAGAAGTAACTTTAACCACTTTTCTAACATAAGTTTTCGATTTCATGATGCAAAATATTATATATATATATATATATAGTTGCTTAATTTAATTTTGAATTTATATAAATAATAAATTAAAAATTAAGAAATTAAATAAATGAAAGTATATAGATCGAAAAGCTTAGTGACACTATTCCAAAGGTAAGAGTTTCTTGTTCTCCTCATCATTATAGGTGTCAGGCTTTCCCCTCAACCATGCTTGGATCTTAAATATTCCACCCATGAAGCATCCTTGTTGGTCAGAATCTCCCAGCAATTTTTCATGATTCTGTAGATCCTTATGCCCAATCCGCCGTCGTCTTTATTTACTTTTATCCTACCCCATGCAATCAAGTGCATTTTTCTACCCTCATCTTGGTTGTTCCATAAAAATGATTTTTCAATGTTTGAAAAAAACTTCATCCAACATTACTTTTGGAATGAGCATAGGTTGCATTAAGTAGCTGGGGAGAATTGAGATAACCACCTTGATGAGAATACTTCTTCAAGCAGCCATATTTAAATACTTAGCCTCCCAATTCGAGAGTTTTTTACTCACTTTTTGTAAAGGAGCAAAAGTAGTTTTAGAGCTTATTTGAAATTTATTTTGAGAATAGTTTTCTATTTTATATAACAAAAAATAAAAATAAAAAATTATTTGTTAACACATTTTTAAAAAATGTTTTGGAGGAAAAAAAAACCAAATATTGTTTTGGAGAATATAAAAATGAAAATATCTCTTAAAAGTTTGAAATTATTGTTCTGAAAATAAGAAAGAATGCAAAAAACATTATTTTTATTATTGTTTATTCTTAGAACATATTTTACAAAATATCAGTTCTTAAAATAATAAAATAAAAATAATTTCAAACAAAATCTTAATAACTCTTTCATGGATTCAATCCCCAGGTATATTTCAAGATTTCGCGTAAGCCCAAGTCCTAAAATTTGGCTAAATTTCAAGGCTCTGTTTTAGCTGACATTGCTACAATAATGCTCTTCTTCTGAGTAATCTGTATAGGAACTGGAGACAGTTATTAGGGTGATCTTTTGTCTCATGTGGGGTTTATTTAGGGCCACATTTGGGTTCACGGGTGACTCTTGTGATATTTATTTGAGTACATTTACTAAAAAAAAAAAAGATTCAAGGGAAAATATCACTTTAATTAAATCCTTATAATCTAATCACGTTTGTTTTAAGTTATTGTAGTTTATTTTTGTAGTTTTTCATCCCTTTTATTTACTCTCTTTGAAATGTTAGTCCCTTTATTTTGAAAAGTAGTTAAAAAAAAAAAAGACCACGAGCTAATCCGAACGATAATAATTTTATTGATATTAATGTCCTAATTCTTCTTTTCTCGATTTGTGTCCAATGTCCTAATACTTCTTTAGCTCTTTACTATTTTAACAAAGTGCTATTTCTTTTTTCTTTTTAATCAAACCAAATTTTTAACGAGACAATTTTGTCATTTTTTTAGGTTAGCTTTTTTTCCTGCTCATCTGATGGGTTTAATGATGTTATGTTCGACTCAATAAATTCACACCATCTGGGCTGTCTCATGACTGTTCTGTGTAATTTTTCAAAATAAAGGGATTAACGCTTTGACACTCTTGTTTCTTTTTTAATGATATTGTGTTTTTCGGCTTAAAAAAACGAAGACAGATTAACGTCTTTAAACTGAGAAAATAAAATGAATAGGAAATGATGAAAATAAGTTGTATGGACTAAAAACAAAACATGATAGTGAT